AGCCGCTTCATGCTACAGAAACTGGGATACGCTCCGGCAGCTATGAGCCATTCGGCTCCAAGGCTTTTGGCATAAGTCATGTACCACGATCTTAACTGTAAATTAAAATGAACCATAGCTTTTTTTATTTTCATTACAGTATTACCATGGCTAAAAACAACCATATGATCATGCTGAACACAGGACTTCTGGTGGCATTGATCTGTTTTTCAATATTTACAAGTAAGGAATGTTTGTCGACTTACAAAATAAGTTCAATATGTGAGTTGTAAAAAAAGAATAGCGATAACTTAACGACAAACCTCTGGAGCGAAATCAAACAAGGGATTCGAATGCCTCGACCTTCTCTTGAAGTAATTGAAGATTATAGTTACTATCGATGGCGAACATATAATTTAAAGATAATGCCCATGAAACGCACACATAGCTTTCACAAATGTAACCTTTAATGATGACGATTATAAATAGTAAATTCCAAAGTTAAATTGGATTCAGACTTTACTGGTTTAGGCTTCTTTTTCTCATTTTAAAATGGTTGCGCCATTGTTTCACCATGCAGCGGTTCACATGTATAATTTAGTTTTCGTGTGATCACAAATATATTCCTTCACGGCGTTTCATTTTGCTAGATGTCGGCGCCCAGACAGTGTCTTCATGTAAAGCTGACAGTATCATGATTAAGGATTCAGTGAGCGGATCAGTCGAATGCCAGGACTGTCGAAAATGTCCTTCTGGCGAGGGGCTGTCCGTGAAATGTGGAGACTTCATTGATTCACAGACACCCTTGGTGTGTAAACCATGCGTGCTTGGTGAAACATACTCCTCAGCATACGAGGCCGGGGCCTGCAAAGATTGCAAGAACTGCGGCCTGTATCGCGAGACCATCAAAGCCTGCACACTGACTTCCAAGGCCGTGTGCGGAAAGTGTAAGGTTGGCGCTTACGAAGAACCCATGCTGAGCATGTGCAAGCCGTGTTCCCCTTGCTGTAATGACGGCAAGGATATAGTAATCTCTCAGTGCCAAGTACCCGGAATACCCGCAAATGAGCAGTGCAGTTTTGTACGATTAAGTAAGTGCAGCAAAGTTGCGACCACTGCTAGTGTCAGCACAATGGCCCCAGCTGTGGAAGCAAATCATTCAACAGAAGAGTCAACAACTCCATCCACGGTAACAAGTCCTGTTGGGAACTCAATCCCAAGTGAACCAATCGCCACACTACTTTCTGATGCATCAACATCTCAGACTAAATTCATTGGTAAGCGTCACGTTAGATTGCGCCAATTTCGCTACTCGAGGACTATTACTAATAGTCCTCTAGTAGCGTAGCCAATTAAAATACAGGATTTGCATTAGTCCACTAGTTGGGTGATACTAATGGCTGATACTAATGGCTGATATATCATGTAGGCTAAGGCATTGAAAACTCTTGAATTGCATTATCTAATGATCCAGTTTTACTAAAAAGAGATAGAATTTCCGAGTTTGCTACGTTTAATTTAAGATGTTGACGTTTATTTACCTATTCATTCACGGTTGTTGCAGAAAAATCATTTTGCAACTCATTCTGTTCCTTTTGTTTTAGATTTCAAGCTTTTCAGCACCGTTCTAAATCGCCCTGAACCAACCTCTGAACTCTACAGTCACACCAAAGAACCTGGTAGAAACACGACTGTGCAAGTCACTGTAGATGTTACTTCCAGTGTCGAGCCAGTCAGATTTTAACAGCAGTTGTTTATGTTGATGGATATGAAAACTCAGAGGTGCACATATTTTGACACATGTACACTTTTTCGATTTTTCGTGCTTGCTGAAAATATTCGTCAGAGAAAAATGAATATTTATAGATCAAAGATTTCAGGAGATTTTGTTCTTAGCCTTTGCAAAGATAGTTTTGGTTGATATGCTAGCTAAGAGGCCCCAAATGTGTATTTGTTGCAAGTGTTTTGGCTATTAAAACTGTGTTAGAATATATTGAAACTGTCACAGTACTGCTCACTAGCAGAACGATAGAACCTAGAGCCACCCGCACTCGACAGAAAATTTGTCCCCTAAGGTATATATTATGCGATGCGACAGTACAACGAAATTTCTAAGGCATACAATCAACTTGTCTCCTTATGAAGCTTTATTACTTGTCTCCCAATGTTCCAGTATAGGCCTGAAACTGAAACAAATTGCCAACGATATATGATAGGGTGGTGAATGGCAAATGCGAGACTTTGCAAGAATGTGAGACTAGCGTTTCTGGGACATTACATGAAACTTCCATTACCACTTCAAAACAAAGACTACGAGAAATTCGACGAAAATTTGGCGACACCCATGGTTCAGTAACTAGATTTGGAAATTCAAGATTTGGAATTCAAGATTTGGCCTGCCAAATATTGAAAAATTTAGAAATGTAAGATTTGGCTTGCTAAATATCAAAATATCAAAAATTCAAGATTTGGCCTGCCATGTATTGAAAATTCGAAATTTGGAATTTCAAGTTTTGGCCTGCCAATATTGAAAACTTAAGATTCGGAAATTCGTGATTTGGCCTGCCAAATAAGAAAAAAAACAAGATTTGAAATTCTAGATTGAGCCTGCCAAATATTGAGAATTCAAAATTTGGAAATTCAAGATTTGGCCTGCCAAATTTTAAAAATTCAAAATTTGAAATTTCAAGATTTGGCGTTCCAAACGCTGAAAACTCACGGATTTGGAATTCAATATTTGGAGATTGATTCAAGATTTGGCCTACCAAATATTGAATGTTCAAATTTGAGGATAGTGAGAACAGAGAATATTTACAAGTTCAAGCCAAGCAAATTGCCAGAAGTGAGAGTTTTCACTCTTGTCACGTGAATAGTTATACAGAGAGAGGACGTCAAATCTATTCGACTATTTTTTACTTTACTTCTCAATAATTTCTATCGTATAACATTGTTGAATCATTAGCCATGCGCATATTGTTTACAGTTTTATTACTCAAAAAATAATACCCTTTCATTGATGCTATTGATTATATCTGATTAAGAATAGTAGTGTTTTCAGCATCAGAGAAAATAGTTTTAAATTACTGAAAGCTGAATAACCTGAAAAGTCATCTGATTTTCACATATTGTATCCATGATGACAACTGTAATTACGTTATCGATGACAACTTTAGTAAATAGGAATTAAATCCTCGTAGTTTGCATTATAGCACTTTATACTGTTCCTATTTTAATGATTTTTAAATTAGAATTAAGGAGGACACTGATTTCCATATAAATGAGCAAAGTAGCCATCATCTTTCTTCAACAAAACTTCTGGCTTGTCTAGCTCGACAATCTTTCCCCGGTCCAGCACCATGACTCGATCGTAATCAATGATTGTACTCAGGCGATGAGGTATAGTGATGACTGTGCTATCCAAAAACCAGGTTCGAATCACTTCTTGGATGAGTCGGTCCGTTCTGTAATCCACAGTGGAGGACGCCTCATCTATTACAATGATCTTGCTCTTATGCAGCAACGCACGCGCAAAAGAGATGAGTTGTCGCTCGCTGGGCCCCAATGTCGCCCCACAGTCCGCGAGGTCCTGGTACAGCTGTTTGGGAAGGCTCTCAACCCAGGACTTTAGGTGGCACTTCTCAAGGACTTCCCAGACTTCCTTCTCTGTATGGTTTAAAAACGGGTCGACGTTCATGCGCAGTGAACCCATGAACAGTATCGGCTCCTTTGTGATGATTGACATGCCACGCCTACTCGCTTGAAGATCAAGGTTATTGATTTTGACGCCATCTACTATTATTTTGCCACCACATTCTGCCATTCGAAACAGTGCATGCGCGATAGACGACTTCCCGGCCCCTGGTCTCCCCGCAATGCCAAACCTCTCCCCGGGGTACACCGTAAAGGAGATGTCTTTCAGCACCCTCGATCCTTCCCTACTGTAGCTTAAAGAGATGCTCTCGAAGCTTATTTCTCCATCCTTCGGCCATGGTACAGGCGGCTGAATCTCAATAGCGTACCCAGGCTCCGGGTCGATCGCAGAGCAGGCCAGGTTACGATCGACAGCACTCATGTAGTTTTCCACTTCAAAGCAGCGTCTGACGCCATTTTGTGACATGTCATGTGACAACTGTAGGGCATAGATCAGCGACAGAATGGCGATTGCTGAAGACAATTTATAACACCGCTTTAGTTTATTGATTTTCTCTGAAGTCTTATTCTAACACCAACTGAATCCAGTTTATTTACACTCAACACTCTATTGAAAATAAGGCAAGCAAGCTCTAATGTTGTCAATTACATAGTGAAAATGTAGACGACAGTCTAATTAAGTAAGGAGTTTGGTGCTTTACTCTCGGAGGAGAACGGGAAAAAATAAACAAATTCTCGTATTTGTCTATTTGGGTAGACACTGGGTAGCCACAACGCAGGAAATGGCATAGCTGATAGTTGTGCCACGCTATCACGCAATGTTGCCGAGAACAAACACGCGTTGTTGCTCGAAATGACGCTGAAATAGAACAAGATTTTACGTACTTTAGTCGACAACTTTGAGGACAATCTAAAGTTGCGTTCAACATTTTTATGTACTATTTCCAAAACTCGTGCTTCGTGTTTCATCGGGGTATCCAAACACCGAGAAACAAATGAAAGCACGAGGC